ATAAGTCTATTAATTTGAAGCCCCGGGTTGTTAATATTACTCAGCACCAGCTTATGCGTTTTCACGCATGTAGTCTATACGAGGCTTACTACACGTGTACTACACCGCCTGCACGTTTAGGCCAGTATACTACACTGTTAATTAGCACATAACCAACTCTGCATTAAGACCCAGGTCTGCTGAGTCTAGTAGACGTCGGGTATTTTCAGTATCTCTGATCAGATACGTCATGCTATTAGGTCGGCATGAGATGCCCCTTAAGAGGCGACAAATGAGGTTTATCCAATCTTTGATTCTGGGTTATTTAAATTTGTCTATAATATAATAGGTTAATAAAATTACAAACTTTCATATATTAATAAGTAGGCACAGCAGTAACGTGATATAATACGATTACGATTAATTTCTATAATTCGACTATTTGCATCCTACATGTATATGCTATATGTTGATACCCTTAGTGTTACCAATCCGTGATTACACAAACCCTTGTGTTAACATAAGGAAATATGTTTTAATACACATTTTTATCCATACACTTTTTTCTAGAGTTCTTTGAATTCTTTTAAAGCAAAAAAGTTGAAAAGTTGAAACGTGGAAATAATAGTGGATAATATAATGAAAACTTAACAGTTATGGTTAGTGTTTTTGAGCTCAGACGTGTTAATAACTTCGTTACTTTTTAAATCTTATACGCTTAAGCCATATATTTGAAACATTTTGCTTTTGTGACTTCATTCGTACCTTATACATACCTTTTACTTTTAAGTTGAACTCAAATTATTTATGCAACTTCTTCTTTACCATTTTTTGTCCAACGTGAGAATAAACATTGTTTAAGCTACAAAGATAGGAGGCTTATAATTTTTAATTATTTTTTTTTCTAAACTAGAAATGGTTTAATAACAAGCAAGAACTTAAATAAATTTCTTTGCAAATTATTTAGACTCATGTGATATACTTTGAAATAATTCTTGCAACAGAAGTAGTATAGAAATACTAATGGATTATGTTAAGGGTACTTACTTTTATTGTACAGATCAGCTTCATCAAATTCGACAAAAATTTATGAATAGCTTTTTATCCAAATACACTCAACATTGGACCTGATAAATAATTCGATAATTTTAGATACACCCATAACTTGTGAGCTCGATATAATTGACGGTGAGAATTTTGATAGTCATGACTCTTGAACAAATATTGCCGGTTCTCAGATAATAATGGAGAAAATTTAGTATGATATCACAGAGAATTCGGTATTTATAATCTTTTTTGTTCCTCTACGATTAAAAGCTGGAAAAGATATCGTTTGGACCAATCTCACACCAAATTCTGTTAACTTTTGTCAAATCACTGAGTTTATATTTACAAAAGAGAAAGGAACAATTAATAAAAAAATCTATAAAAAGTACACTAATTTCTTACAGAAAGTAAAAACGTATTGTTACGAGTTTCTTGACAGGTCTGTAGGAGTAGATTGTATTATATATTATACCATTTAATGAAAAAATCTGTAACTATACTAAACGAGCAGCTTCAAATTCATGCGATATTTGTGGAGTTGGGCCTAAAAACGTGAACAATTTGAAGCATGTTAAAAGCTGCCCCTGCATAAAAAAAAATTTTTAATTTGTACTTTCAAGCTTACATATGTGGATAAGATGTCTGAAATGTTGTATGCATATAGCGTACAATCTTGATTTTAAACAATTAACAGCGAAAACTGTAGAGCAGAAAGCAGCGAAGAAATCAAGAGAAGCACTTGTTCAAAAAGCGTTAAAAGAAAAACTGTCTTTGTCTATCGATATTGTTAAGTAGGGATCAGGCAATACTCACTGTGGTAACAGTACTACAGTTTTTTTTTTTTAAACGCTAAGGAAGCAGCAGAAGCTACTGAGTTATCTAAAGATTTATTAATCCAATTTTACACAATCCTTCAGGTAATATCGTGTTAACATTTAATCGACTGCAATAAATTTGAAACTTACTGTTTCATAAGCACAGAGATGTACATAGATTGTTATGGCTGGTACAAAATGCCACCATCTGTATATAAGTTGCTGATTTACGGTAGTGACATTATCCGTGTATTTGATATCCCAATAGGTTGGCTGTCTGAAGAACAACAAGAAGAAAATATAAGATTTAGAAATCGAACCAGTAATGTCGTTTCTGAAAAAATATGTGTTATATTATAAAAATCGTTTAATTTTATAAAAATTAAGGATTTTGAATAATTCTTAAATTTTTTTTTCAAAAACGACAACTCTTATCGACAAATTGCAAAATTCATTTTTTTTTACATCTTTATACAGAATACAGTAGTATTTTTAGAATTTTTGAAATCAATAACCTTTAGATAACGTCAGCCATATTAAATTTGCCATTTCGAATTTTATTATGTTTATGCAAGATACGTATTAAGCTAGTATAATTAATATAAAATATGGTACATCTACATTTTTCTTACACTACAGAAGAAGATAATAAGTTAAAACAGTAATTTTTTTTATCTTCAGTGCCCTTTAGCGCCTAGATCTCTGCAGTTTTCATCACAGGACAAAACTTTTTTTGAAAATACGTATTAAGCTAAAAAAAAAAGAGAAAAATTATAAAAAAAGCGTCATACTTGTTGAAAAATGGATTTTTATTTTTAAAATTCAAAAAAAATTGGTCAACCTAACCTTAACGTTAAAAAAAATATTTTTACCTTGTTCTACGAAAAAATTTCTAACAAAAACGTATTTTTTAATTTTTTTGTAACTACCTAACTTTTCTCCTTCAATTCACAATTTAGAGGTCAACGAAAGTTTCATTATTTGTGTTTATCACTGATAGCGAAGGTCTGGATAAAAAAATCTAAATGAATTACAGTATTGTTTCCTCATGAAGTACTATGTATCTTCAAAGTCTAGAGGAAAAAAATTTTGTATGCAGATATGAATCTTCTGCAAAACAGCTTTTTCCAAAATCTTTGTTTTGGAATCAGTGTTATCAGAAAATTTGTTACTATGTGCGTGTAGTTTATTGCTATTTAGTCGTACTATTGGCAGTGTGCATTTTGAGCTGACTTTACTCACTACCTTGTGATATGAGGTTGATATTGTATGGCCGTTTGAAATGTAAGACACGCTTATTAACCCTGAGTATTTCAAATTTATCACCTGGAGAAAACATGAATCAAAAAAGAATCTCGTATGCTACCTTCCCCTTCCCCCCACCATACCATGCTTTACCCTATCTAGAAGATTAATACGTCAAACCATCTGGAGTCACACTACCAAAGGTAATGCATCTTAAAACCTCCAAAAAGAAAATTTAGATTTTATTAATTTTTTTTTCATTTTATTTATTTAAAAAAAAGGGAGAAAAATACTTTTCTGCCCTCGGGTGGTTTTGGGAGGCTGGCACTTCCTTGGGCGAAAAAGCAGTTTTCCGGAACTCGTTCGAAAAGTCTCCTTTACGAACCTCGTTACGTCCCTCGCCTTCGGCTCGGGCCGCAAACCTCTCGGTTCGCAAACAGAGACTTTTCAAACTCGTAGGAAAACTACTATTTTTACGAACCTTGTTACGAACCTCGCCTTCGGCTCGGGCCGCAAACCTCTCGGTTCGCAAACAGAGACTTTTCAAACTCGTAGGAAAACTACTATTTCTTATAAATTGAGCTGGTGGTCTCTTGTGCACAAGGTATATTTCCACTCCCCTCTGCCATAAGCGATCCTCATTCTAAGAGACCTCTTACTTTTTGTTGTACTATGGTTCGTACATTAGTTTTAATGTAAATATTTGTATACTGTTTGTAAATTAAATTAGCTTGATCATTAATTGTATTTATTACTAAATCATTTCGTAAATTAAATAATTTTTTTCTCAACTTGTTAAACCTTTTTTTTTGAAACAGCTATTCTATGTATAGGGACATTCGTCTTCACTGCCCCAGCGCCACCGCAAGTGGCCCACTTGAATGCTGAGTACAATACTTAGACTGCATTGTTTTGGCATCAAAACGTAATTGAAAAAACGACAGCGATGTGTTATCTAAAGCATCTTGACCTCATCTTTCAAATCACATTAATTAATTTCGCGATTTTTTCTTACGTTATCTAAAACACTTTAAATTAAAACTTAAAATATGTTGAAAACACATGCTGAAAGCATGATCCTTCAATGATTTTTCAATTTTTTTTGACCGTAATAATCGAAAAATTCAGTCTTTTGAATTCAATATAGGTTATAAAAAAGGAGGTCTTCTTTGATTTTTGCAAATGATCAATTTGAAGAAAAATGACATAAATTTTTTTTATTTCAACTGTCTAAAGTCTAGATAGTCAATTTATCATTGAAGTATATTTGATGTAGGTAGTAAGAAAATAAAGTGTAAAAAATCATGAATTTGTAATCATTTTAATGATAAGGATTAAGGAATAAGATTTCTATGTACAAAATAAAATAAGTTACACTAAAAATATTATTCAAAAAATTTTTTTTTTATTAAATAGGTAGCAGTTTTCATTAGGCTTTTCCTTACATTAAGTACTGTCTATCTTTTTGATGACATTAAGTTTTTGTATTAAATATTGCAACTTCTGCACCTTTGATACGAAGAATAATATTTACCTTTGGTGGGCCTAGGCCATTGCAAAAGTTTTTCGTTTGTTACTTTGTTATTTCTTTGAAGCTCATTGAATTGCCCTCGAGAATATTTGTTTCAGTGGCTCAATATACTATTACCTTAATAAAAAAAAATGTGATGTTATTGCTTCTGATGTTTAAAATTGATTGGTATGTCTTCATGCTCTAGGCTAGCCAGAGAATTAGTTTTTCATATTTACATTTTCATGATACTTTACTTTTCTTAAAGAAAATTTGAAGATAAATAATGAAGGTGAATAATGGAACAATTATTTTTTATTACAATACACGATTGATGGTTATAAAGAAAACACAACATTGATCTTTAGTTAGTAAAAAAAATTTTGAACATTTTTTTGTTTCAGAAAACACATATGAAAGAGAGTGACGTAAGTTCTTTAACATTAGGATATCTTGAATCAAGTAAAGCAGTACATAACAAAAATTTTGAAAGACAGAATAAGACCATAGACAGTCCTGCACTTTATAATCAAAATTACCTTAGTAGTCAAGGAAATGAGCCAATAAAGTACGATTACATTATCAATAAATTAGCAGTCGATTTGTATGCTTTTTCGCAAGAAGGTCGTAGTAACCAGAAAGGTATTTTTGGAAATGTTCAGAAAGTCAATGAAAGTGTTGTATTTTTTTTAAATAATAATATCACAACAACTGGGCCTCTTGAAAATGTTAGAAAACTTACTACCCAAAATATTAAAGAGTTATTTGATCACACAATGAAAAACTCTACTGACAGTAGCAGCCTATTACCATCTACTTCCAGTACTATACATTCAGATATAAATGTTGTGAGAACATTGCCTGATAAAGTACGACGTCCAGTTGACAGTTCAATTTTTCTATCCAAACATCGTATAAAAACGGAAAGTGCTTTACCTACTATAAGTAAGTTTGAAAAAAAAACTAATGAGTCAAGTGTTATAAGAACTTCAACAAGCCAACCACAAAGTCATAATTATAATGGCCGTCCCAACGTGAGTGGAGTTAAACGCAACAGATACACAAATCAGAAAGAATACTTGGTATCATCGACGACGGAAAACGTCCAAAAAGGGAAGACAAGTAGATTACGTTTCAGAACTAAATCAGTTCCATTAGGAGAACGGATCCGTAGTTCAACTTTTCGTTCGAAATCCCATTTGACAACATCATCATTATCATTACATAGTTTAAGAAGCCCCAGTGTTAGTACAATACTTGAACAAACTACTGATTTAAGTGAAACATATGAGCCAAATGTTACTAATAAGACTTTTATGACCCACAAATGGCGCAGAATTCGTACAGAAGCTTCATCCCAAACATCTGATTTAAAAAGTGAGTGTACGTTATATTTATGATACTTAAGAATCACCATAAATTTTATGTAAGAACAAAATTAAAATAATAATATAAGACAACCAATGACAGTTAATTATTAATTAAACTAGCGTCGAATGGTGGAACTGTCAATTTTTGTATTCTTTAAATAACTAAACGACGTTTCGGCCGTTTCGACAATGTCCTGGCCCGCATCAGGTACAAAAATCTATGAGTAATAAAAGTTCTTTACAATACAAATTTTAATGAATACAATAAATACAAATTAAGTAGAGTGTAAACTATACCTTTGACTCTTACGAAGGGGATGTGAAATCGTAATGTAGCCAGAGTTAAAAGTTTCGCTGCTTTTATACCCTGCACATACAAAAATGACACAATATACGCACACAATACAATCAAATAAGAATCGCAAGCAGTTCCTTGTGAGACATACGTAAACAGTTCATGTTTTACTAATACCATAAATGATAAGGATCCTCAAATCATGTACATCACGTTAACCTCTCTCTTAATTGATTTAACGAGAGACTTGCAACAATTTTTTAATTTGTCTGTATCTTGTTGTCTATTAATATTATCATTGAAATAATGTATATTAAACATTTCGAAAAATAGACACTTTTTATAATTTTGTTCTGGTTCTAAAATTTTAATTTTATCAAAATTAACGTTGTTTATAAATTCAATGCTATGTTGTGATAGTACAGATGTATCCTTTTTTTTTTCTATGTCTCTTTTATGTTCTGCCATTTTTAGTTTTAAAGCTCTCGATGATTGACCGACATAACAGCAGTTGCAATGCGCACATGGTATGTGGTAAACAACATTATTCTTATCGAGTGGCTCGGTAACGTCTTTTCCAAGTGAAAAGATCAAATTTAATTTATTGTTTAAACTGTATACAAGATCAATGTGAAACTTGTTACAAAAATATTTAATAGGACCGTGCAAGTTGGGAATGTATGGTAATGATAAGATTAGTTTATAATTATTATTGTTTCCATTGCAAATGTCAATCATGTTCATGTTTAGGTAGTTATTCTTTCATTTAAAAATTTATCAATAAATCTTTGAGGATAGTTGTTAGCTAGTAAAAATTTATGGATTAGTTTTAAATCATCGTTATAAAATTTAGTGTCCACTAATTTAATGGGAAAGTTTACTAATGTGTAAATGATACCTATCTTACGTTGTATTGGATGGTGGAAGAGAAAATTCAAGTATCGGCCAGAATGTGTGGGTTTTTGGTACCAATGAGTTAGCACTGTGTTATTTTGTTGAATAATAATTCTTAAATCTAAGAAACTAATACTGTTGTAGTGACATGTCTCAACAGTGAATTGTCATTCTGGACAATAGCTATTAAAAATGTTTTTAGTATAGTTAATATATTTAGTAGGCATACATATGAGAATATCATCCACGTACCGTACCTACAGTGGAACATCAAAACATATTTTCTCTAAGCATGAAATTTCAAGCAGACGCATAACAAGAACACACAGCACTGGACAACAGGTACAACCTATTAGAGAGCCCAAATCTTGTTTATAATATTTGTTGTTAAAATGGAAAAAAGTTGAATTTTAAACTAAAGATACACCTGTGCAAAATTCATTGAGGGAAACATTAATTTTACCATTCAGGAACTTCCGAAAATGTCTTATTGCATTTTTGATAAGGTTTTTCTCGTATTAGTGAATAAACTAACAACATCTAGACTAATAAGAGTGTAACCAGGTAAAAGGATAATATCTTTTAATTTATTTTTCAACTCATAACTATTTTTTACGTGTGATTACGCCAGCAGAATATTCTTAATTAAAAAATGAGAAAGAAATTTAAAAAAAAATATAAATGGGTAAATTTATTATCGAGACAGAGATACAGATAGGAAAGTTTTTTTTGTGTATTTTTATCAGTTCGTAGAATTTA